GGTGCCACATAAAGGCTCAACAGATAAAGTACTGGTACCTCTTGGACGGGGCATGGGAGAACTAAGCCTGACAGATGTGCCTGGCTGTGGTGTCTGAAGTGGTGGGCCCGTTCCAGAACCCAATGTCCCCTCCCCACACTGCGCCACCCTCCACAGTGCTGTACCCTACACACTGCCAGCCTAACCTTTCGACCTCGGTGTCAGTCCAGGGATCACCTGCTCAGGGCCCTGTCCCTGGCCTCCCTGGAGCCATGCAGAGTCACCCTCCCAGGGCCATGCCTGGGGGGCGAATGCGGATGCCCACCTTCCCTACAGACTGGGTACTTGGGGCCCGGACATGGCAGGCCCTCAACAAACAGTGCTGGGTGAAGGGGGACGGGTCAGCTAAGAGACCTCATGCCAGGCACAAGCCCTGGTCTGCCCCTGGTGCTCTGAGGGAGAAGGGAGGCCAAAGCGGAACCCAGTGTGCCTCAGAGCGGCAGCTGGAACGGGGTAGAGGCAGACTGTCCCAAAGGGGAACAGGGACTAAGAATGTCCCAGAGCCAGGTCCTCTGGGCAGAGGACTCGCTCCCACCCCATCCCTGCCTCCTCTCCAGCACCTGCCGTCTTTCACAGTCCCATCCCCCTTGCTGACCTGCCCTGCCCCAGAATCCCAGTCACCTGAACAGCCTCACCAGCTAGGTTCACTGAGCACTCACTAGGTACTAAAGTCACCATCTCAAGCGCTCTACACAAACTCCCTCCCTCCAGCCTCCCAGTGGCCCTAGGAAGCACGGCTCCTATTAGCCCATTTTACAGACCAGAATACCAAGCCCCGATGCACCACTCCCTCCTGGCTCTTATGCCTAGCACACCCATTTACCAGGTTCCTGCCATATGCTGTGTGTCCCCGACAGGCTCCTGGCCCCGGTCCCTCTGTGCACTCACACCCCAAGGGCCACCTCAGAGCTGGGCACAGATGCAGGAACTGGAGACCTCTCAGGCTGAGTTCCTTCACCCTGTGCTCTATGGAGGGTGCCTGGGGTCAGTCATTTCCAGACAGGGTCTGAGAGGCCACGAGGGCTACCGTCGACCCCAGGGGAGACTCGCAGCCCCCGCCTGGGCTGTGAGCAGGGCGCTGCCTCCAGCTGTACTTGTCAACACAGTGCTACAAGGGAGCCGCCCCCTGCCCCCCTCGCGCACCCGAGCCCACCCCACTCACAAAGCCGTTGCCCATGATGCGGCAGAGTCCCTTGAGCGAGTCGCAGTCTCTGTTGGTGAAGTGGAACTGTGCCAACTGGGAGTTCCGGAACAGGGGCCCCAAAGTGGTCTGGGGGTGACAGGGGACAGACAGCTGCGTCAGCCAGGCATGGGGGTGCTCAGAGTGGGTGGGGCGGGCGGGGCGGGTCTCACCAGCAGCTGCTGCGGAATCAGCTGCATGATCAGCTTCTGCGGCCACTGGTCGGTCTCCCTATGGGAAAGAGCCGGTCAGAAAGGGCTGCCCTGATCCCCATGGCCACAGCCACTGCCCCTGCCACCGCCCTGGCTGCTGCACCCCGGCACTCACAGGTTCTCGCCTTGGTTCACATAGGCTTGGCAGGGCAGGGTCCGCTTCAGCTTTGCAGTGGAGTCAGAGTAGGGTCTGCGCTTCTGTGGGGGCAGGAGGGGCGTCACTGTGCACAGCCTAGATGCCCCAGCCTGTCCCCGCGGGGACAAGACAAGACCCTGGAGACCAGCAGCAGCCCCACAGGGACTCACCTCCTGCCACTCAAGGACGCCGCTCCAGGCCAACAGCTTGTTGCTGAGTCGGTGCTCGCTCACGGCCAGACCCCCGAGGGTGAGCCCAGGTGAGGAGGGACTGATGGGACCCAGCGCCCCGAAGACCCGAGCACCTTCCTGCAGTGGAGTGGGGGGTAGGTGGGAAACTGAGGCTGAGGCCTGCAAGGACAGGCAGTCCCCACATACCCCAGAGGGGATGTCCCAATATTCAGACCCAAATCCCCTGCTGGAAGCCCACCAGGCCATGTCCAAACTCTCTGCTCACCCCTCAGGACCCCAACACGCTGGTCCTCATGTCCTTTCCCGCTGCCCCCTCCTCAGGACCCTTCCTTCCCAGAGCCTGCTGTCACCTTGACACTGGCCCAGCAGAGTCCTGAAGCCTTCAGCCAGCCCCACCTCCAGCCTTTGCCCCAGCTGTGTGCCTGATCGATTCCTTGAGACCCAAGTTAGAAGCCAGCTGTGGGGGACTTTCCATGTGCCCCAGGCTGGGCCCAGGGCTTCCTTGCAGCCTCCGCAGACACAAGCCGGCCTGTGCTGTGTCTGTCCCGCAACTAGCTTGCCCTGTCTGAAACTCTCCTAAGGCTCCCAGTCACTCCAAAGTTCAACTCCTCCCCCTAGCTGCCAGTGCCCCCCTCTCTGGCCTTATCAGTCTGACCCCAGGGAGACAGGAAGGAGGTGACAAGAAACACAGAGGGAACTGAACCATCTAGGAGAAAGACAGCGAGGAGAAGGGGGAAACATGTGGAAGAGAGCTGGGACACCACCCCCTGGAGGAGCCTCACAGACCAAAACACGTAGAACACCAGGAGAAGCGTCTAGCAATAAAGTCAAGCAAAGCCGCAGATACTACTCACAGGGCACTCTCCCATTATTTTATTTTTTATTACTATTACTTTTTTGAGACAGAGTCTCACTCTTGTTTCCCAGGCTGGAGTGCAGTGGCGCGATCTCGGCTCACTGCAACCTCGCTCACTGCAAGCCGCGCCATCATGCCCAGCTAATTTTTTTTTTTTTTTTTTTTTTAAGTAGAGACGGGGTTTCACCATGTTGGCCAGGCTGGTCTCGAACTCCTGACCTCGTGATCCGCCCGCCTCGGCCTCCCAAAGTGCTGGGATTACAGGCGTGGGTCACCGCACCTGGCCTCACTTATTATTTTTTAAAACCAGAAACATCTCAAAGCAAACAAGGGAAAGCTTCGAAAACAGCCTGGCAGCAGGAAACCCTCGAGTTTCCCCATAGTAGGCTCCTCCAGGCAGGGGAAACAAATTATAAGGGTGATTTTTTTTTGTCTTATTACAAACAGGTATTTTCCAAATTTTCTATGAAGCACAACGAGATCTTTCCTTCCAAAATACTAGCAAACAAAAAATCTTACTTTGTGAGCGCTTAAAGAGAGACACCTGAACAAACTTGCTCTCCACCCTTGCAGGTGATTCTGACTTTTGGGCAATCATCAAAAGATCAGAAAAAACACCTGAGTATCTTGGCGTTAGAATGAGCTGGACAGAGAGTGGATGTTGCCCCGGGGGCTTCAGGCACCATACCGGACATCCAGCATCTGAGAAGATGTATTAAAACGCACAGCTGGAGGTGGTTTTAGAGATGAGGGTACACTTGCAACATACAAGTTGTTTATGGCGCTGGGACCTGGGATATCTAGACTGCATACACAAGTCCGCATATACAGTGACACGTATGCATTTGCTGCCACAAAGATGGGTAAAAATCAGGCGAACGCACTTAAGGGCCCAAGCGACATACTTAATGTCTGCTTGTTTAGGAGGGCAGGTTGACTCAGGACTTCAAAAGATGCTGGGATCTGAAGCCATAGTAAAGAGCAGGCATGCATGCCTAAAACCCAGGGATACCTTCCACAGCAGGAGCAGCATATCAAGATGGGACGACCACATTTAAAAACGACCGGTAAGGTGCAACCTAAAGGAAATCTCACATCTTGGCAAGTGTGTGCAAAACTGTGCGCGCCTGACATCGCTACTGCACAGGGAAGCCCATCTAGTACCTACACTGAGGTTTAAAGCCTTGGGCGGCATGTCTGAGGGCCCGGAAAGCACTTTTGAACGACTAGATGCGAACGCTGCAGGAAGGGGCAAAGACAGTGGAGTGAAGGGATACGTTTGAGTTCTGGGAGGTGATCTGAGTCTGGGTATCCATGTTTATGACCCCAGGAAGCCTGTTTTAAGGTTTCAGTAGGGCTGCCACAGCTCTGTGCCATCCACACCGCTGGGGAGTGTATTTAAAAAGCGGACTGGAGCGCGAACCCAAGGGATATCTCACATTGGGGCAAGCGTGTGCACGGTGCAAAGTCGCGATGTGCAGTTTTACAGCCCCAGGTAAACCTTACTAGGGGTTTCTGAAAAGCATGTGCGTCTTTTGGGTCCGGGAAAGCCTGTGCAGCCCAAAGTACCTGCGAAGCTGAATGTTTACGTTTAAGGTCTGGGCTCACGGCAGTCCATCAAAGCATCCCACATCTGGGCGCGGGCGCACATTCTAGGTGCGCACTCCACCGGCACAGCGCGGGCCCCAGGGAGAACGCCCACGGGTGCGACATCTGGGGGCGCTGGTACAAAGCGCGGGCCCCTCCCTCGCCGCTGTCCCCCAACCCCCGCCCCCATTTCCAGGTTTCCTGCCCGGAGAGAGCAACTTTCCAATGGGGAAAAACAAACGCGCGTGCTGGCCGCCTGTCCGCCGCCCCCCACCCGCGTTTAAATCTGGCCGCAGAGTCAGCAGTAATATGAGCCCGCCCCGCCC